AATAATATGATTTTCAGGGTCGAAAAGGAGAAAGTGGTTTAAATGGTATCCCTGGTGATAAAGGTCAAAAAGGTGAAAAAGGTTACCTTGGATTACGTGGTCTTCCTGGTAACTCCAGTTTAGGTACTGCTGGTAGCCCAGGAGAAGTTGGACCTCCAGGAGAAAAGGGTGAAAAAGGAAGCCCAGGTTTTGATGGTATACCTGGTAATCCAGGCCCGAAAGGAGACATAGGTGGACGATGCAATGACTGTAGGCCTGGAGGACCTGGGCAGAAAGGTGACCGCGGTATAGATGGATATCCTGGTCCAGCTGGTGAGCCAGGACAACCAGGACCTCCAGGGCTTACAGGCGAAAGAGGAGCTGACGGCCTTAACGGTATGCCAGGAGAAGCAGGAGCTCCGGTGAGTTATTTTTTAAAGCATTTTTTTCTTTTTTAAACGTTTTTTGAATTTAATTTGTTAATCCTGACAATCTATTGGCAATATTTGAAACAGGGTGAACGAGGTGATGATGGACCCATTGGACCACCTGGTGAGAGAGGAGCTGATGCAAAGTTTACGGCATTAAACCTCTTAAAAGGACAGCCTGGACCGAAAGGTGAAAGAGGACCTCCTGGACCTCCTGGGCCAAAGGGTGAAAAAGGAATGTTAGGGTTCAAAGGAAATCAAGGCCCGATTGGCATGCCAGGACAAAAAGGAGATCATGGATTGACGGGACCCCCAGGAAATGATGGTACGCCGGGGTCTGACGGAAATCCAGGTACACCCGGTAAAGACGGAATTTCAATCAGGGGAGAAAAAGGTGCACCAGGCAGTTCAGGACTAAAAGGAGATAAAGGATTACCTGGTAGAATGGGTATTAAAGGAGACTCTGGTAAATGCCCAGCAAATTTGCAGGCCCTAACTAGGGGCGACCCAGGTGCACCAGGTGCACCCGGTCCGCAAGGAATGCCAGGTAAGGTTTCTATTTGTTAGTTTTATAGAACCTTCAAAATTTAAACTAAAAGAGATAAGTAGGGTATTATAGGTGTGTATGTTTTTACATCACCTTTTTAGGTTGTGCACCGACTAGTTTATTATATCTACATAATTCATTTCATTTTATAATTCATAATAATCGTAATAAATATTGAAATCTAAAAGAATAAAATAGTGAATTTAACAAGATGGATTTATATTAACATGTAAGGGATTGAATTTTTTTATTAAAAATATATCCTTGATGCTATGCATATGTTACTATGTAGTAGATATAAAATACAAAACACGAGCGTAAAACAGTGATTATAATATCGTTTAGTACGCTAGTACAAATTCTTCATATGATTGAACTTATTTTATTTCAGGCGAAAGAGGAGAAAAAGGTGATAAAGGATATGCAGGACGTCCTGGACTTAAAGGTGAAATGGGTTTTCCTGGAAAGCAAGGCCCAGTAGGACCTCGAGGAATACCAGGAGAAAGAGGTGATAAGGGAGAAGTGGGTCCTATTGGTTTCCCTGGATCCCCTGGAGAAGCGGGACCTAGGGGCTACCCTGGAAACCCAGGTTTTAAAGGTGATAAAGGTGAACTTGGTTTATCTATGCCCGGGCCACCTGGTCCTTCTGGTTTTCCCGGTGCGAAGGGTGATAAAGGTAGCAGAGGACAACCTGGTACGCCAGGCGCTGACGGTCTGCCTGGTCCTATTGGGCTTACTGGAGAAAAGGGTGATCCAGGTATTATGGGAAGACCTGGTTATGCTGGTCCCCCAGGACAAAAAGGTGAGCCTGGTCCGCTAGGGCCACCTGGAATAGCTGGAAGACCTGGTGCTCCTGGAAGAGACGGGGCTAAAGGTGAACAAGGTTATCCCGGACCAGAAGGAAAACCTGGAGTAATAGGATTACCTGGTCCTAAAGGTGAACCAGGATTGCAAGGAATGCCAGGACAAAAGGGATTCCCTGGAAGCCGCGGTCGTCCAGGTCGAAATGGTCCTCAAGGTATTCCTGGAGCACCCGGAGAAAAAGGTGAAAAGGGAGAACGTGGTTTTCAAGGAGCAGCAGGTCTGCCTGGCCTGGATGGACCTATGGGGCCAGCTGGTCGTGATGGCGCTAAAGGTGATAGAGGTTTTGATGGACGACCTGGGCTACCAGGAAAATCTGGACCACCAGGTGAAAAGGGAGATAGAGGTTTTCCAGGATTAGTTGGAGAAAAAGGTTCACCTGGATTAGCATCTGAAAAGGGTGACAAAGGTGATAGCGGTGTTCCAGGTCTTCGAGGTATGGATGGTATGCCAGGTTTACCAGGTGCTAAAGGTGACAGAGGTGAATCAGGTAGACCAGGTTATGGACTTCCGGGTGTCAGGGGAGAAAAAGGTGATCAAGGAGCACCTGGATTGAATGGACTGCCAGGTGCAACGGGAGAAAAAGGAGACCAGGGCTTTAGTGGAATGAAGGGAGATAAGGGATTAATGGGTATTCCAGGTGAACCTGGCCAACCTGGATTACCTGGAATGAATGGTCCTCCTGGTGTAAAAGGTGACCAAGGTCTACCTGGTTTTGATGGAATTAAAGGTGATAAGGGTAATCCTGGCGCACCCGGAAGAGATGGATTTGATGGAAAGCCAGGGCCACGAGGTTTACCTGGTCCTGTAGGACCTATGGGTGCTCCTGGTTTGCGTGGAGAAAAAGGAGACCGGGGTCTTCCTGGTGTATCGATAAACGAGAAAGGAGAAAAGGGAGAAGTTGGTCCACCAGGATTAGTAGGATTAACAGGAGAAAAGGGAGACACAGGCGATAGAGGATTACCAGGATTACAAGGTGAAAAGGGAGATCGAGGTTATATAGGCCAGAAAGGAGAAAAGGGAAGAATCGGTCTTTCGGGAGAAAAAGGTATGTTTGATGGCTTTTTAATTCTTTTTATTAGATTGGCCTATAACGGTCTAATATTATGTAATAAATCTAAGTACTTGAATAATACACAGTTTATATTTTTGTATAACCATAAAAGTTGGCAATTATACATGACCATATAATATTATGGTACAATCGAGCTGACCCGATGCATGATTTTTACTTTCTGCTAATAGTGAAATTCAAATGATGACGATTTGATATGATATCGATTAAATGCATGTTATTAGGTTTTTAAACTACAAAATATAATTAATATTTTTTGGTAAATAACCAAGTAATTATTAAAACTATTATAAATTTATAGGTGATCGCGGTCCTGCTGGACCAACTGGTATACCAGGAGTGACAATAGTTGGTGAAAAAGGATTGCCAGGAATTCCTGGAAAGCATGGTCGACCAGGACCACCAGGTGCAATAGGTGAGAAAGGAGAACAAGGGTTACCAGGATTGCCTGGACAAGTTGGGCCGGCTGGACTACCAGGTACAGTTGGACCACAAGGACAAAAGGGAGATCGCGGTCGAGAAGGTGTGGCAGGTCCCCCCGGCTTTGATGGAACTCCAGGTTTCCAAGGTCCTCCTGGTCCTCAGGGTGAAAAGGGTGACAGAGGCGAGAAAGGTGCTACAGGAATCGGCTATGAAGGACAGAAAGGAGATCAAGGTTACCCTGGTGAACCGGGCATGGTAGGAGAAAAGGGTGATAAAGGAGACCGCGGATTTGATGGACGAGATGGGCAACCAGGTCCTATGGGCCCTATGGGAGAGAAAGGTGAAAGGGGATTCCCTGGAGCTTTTGGTGTAGCTGGTATTCAAGGCGAGAAGGGTGACAAAGGTGAAGCCGCTGGCTTTATATTTGGGCCAAAAGGCGAGCCTGGACCTCCAGGATTACCAGGAGCAGATGGTATACCGGGTAATGATGGGTTACCTTGTCCTCCAGGCATAGATGGATTACCAGGTATGAAAGGTGATCGTGGATACCAAGGACGACCTGGCCCGCCTGGTCCTGTTGGTCCACCAGGATTGCAAGGGTTACAGGGTGAAAGGGGTGAGATTGGTTTAACTGGACAAGTGGGGCTTCCTGGGCCGCCTGGAGCTCCTTGTGTAGAGACTGATTATCTAACCGGTATCCTGGTAGTACGACACAGTCAAGGAAGTAATGTATATGATTGTCCAGAAGGTTTGGTAAAACTATGGGATGGATATTCCTTACTCTATATAGACGGCAACGAAAAAGCCCATAGTCAAGACTTGGGACATGCTGGCTCATGTGTGAGAAAATTCAGTACAATGCCCTTCCTTTTCTGTGATCTGAACGAAGTATGCAACTATGCTAGTCGAAATGATCGAAGTTACTGGCTTTCAACTAATGAAGAAACTCCTATGAATCCAGTGCAAGGAAACGATATTATCAAGTACATTTCGAGATGTGTCGTATGTGAAGCACCAGCTAATGTTATTGCTGTACACAGTCAATCGAACAGTATCCCTGAGTGCCCATCAGGATGGGCTGAGCTTTGGATCGGATACAGTTTTGTGATGGTAAGATGGATTTTTTTAACTAAACTTATATTAATATATTTTAGTCTGTCAGATATGAATCGACCCCAAAAATAGCTGTACTTGATATAAATGAGACTTAAATTTATAGCCTTATCTTGTATGATTGGCATGGACCGTGAGTATTCGTCGAATGTAGACGCACTAATAAGTTATAGGTACTTACGTAGACTAGACATTTACATCTTGCTTAACATGAACATCGTTGCATAAACGTTAAAAGAATAAAGGTCGTGATGTTATGTTTACCTACATTGTTTTTAAAATTACAGCACACCGGAGCGGGAGGTCAAGGAGGTGGGCAGGCTTTGGAGAGTCCTGGATCATGTTTGGAAAGCTTCCGAACAGTACCGTTCATAGAATGTAACGGAGAAGGCGGTACATGTCACAAGTTTGCCAATAAACTCAGTTTTTGGTTAACCACCATCAACGACGCAGAACAGTTCGCCATGCCGAGACGAGAAACATTAAAGTCAGGAAATCTACTCCAACGTGTAGCTCGCTGTGCAGTTTGCATGAAAAATACCAAATAGTGTAATGAAAATACTTTAAGCAGACTCCACTAATTATGAAAAACATTTTACAATGTAATTTTGGAAAGATTCGGTTTCTCTTAAGAAAATTCACATATATAATTAATATAGGTAAGGTGTGAAGAGGCTGAAAACGTTAGGTGTCTATTAATTTACCATTTTTCACGGAGTTAAAACTAAGTATCACTGTCAACAAAACACCAAAGCAATTTAACGTAAGGTATTTTATTTAATTATTTTAAAGATAATCGTCTTACAAAGTATGTTATTGCACTGTTACTTAAATTCCTTAATTCTGTTTATTTTCTGTCTACAAATTAAGTACTATACTTATTTTATATCGGTATACCCATACCATCATATGCACCGGACATTTCCGTATCTCGCAATGTTATTATATTTGGATTATGTAAAGATAAGGAGTGCACTTCGTGAATTGCCATTGTGGTGTGTAACTGTGATGACAGACACCACGGGCACATTTCGTAAATTTTAAATATTACTTACTGTACTTATATTAATTTTACTTTTTCCTACATATTAAATATTGTGAGATCGCCATTCACAGAGAGCCCGTCGAAACCTCACGCCTGCACAGATACACTTGATTTGTGATAATTTAGAATTGCCTAATTGTATATAATAAAAAGAATTATAAATATATTATATAAAAATTAATTAGAAGTTATAGTTTTACCTATTTAGCAACTGTAATGACCTACTTATGTACTTGTTTAGATGCCTGTCAGATTATTATATTCGTTACAACCCAAAACAAAAATATTAAACAACGCTTATAATATTTACTTACCTATTTATCACAAATGGAATATAATATAATGTATGTATCTTTTTATACATTTCATATTATTTTATATAAATTTAAGTAGGTATAAGTATCTGCCAAACCGTGAATAACAGAATTGTTTTATGCAACACTGCCATATTGTAGATAGATTAATGTTAATGAATTTAAGAATTCTTAAACAATAAAAATAACTTAAAAAGTTAAATTGTTTTTTTTTTATCAACAGATAGGTAATTATATTCAATGCATGAGTTTATGCTGCCAGCTAGGATCTGATCTGATAAAGTTTGTATTGCTCGTCATCTTAATTAAAAATAGGTCATCGACGTTTGGTCACGACGTAATGTTTTTAACATGTGTCATCATTTCTAACCATTTTCTAGCTGACTAGAACTATCTACGACAATACTAGAACTATCCTAGAACCAATATTAAATACTTAGAACTAATAGAATTATATTTCTAGGAGGGACTATAACAGCCTTCCGTTTCGCGCGGTTTTTCCGAATTTTACCCCCTTTTTTACGTTCTTAAATTATCTTTCGTAAAACTTTTCGTGACTATAGTATATCAAATACAATAAAAAACATTCTCTAAATTGGTTCAGGCGTCACAGGGTTGTGCCCTTACCAACATACTTATTTTGCGATTAATTTTTTTATATATAGATAAGTTCATAAAATAGCGCAGTTTTTAAGCCTACTTTACCTTTAGGTAACACTAGCAACCCGCCCCGGCTTCGCACGGGTGCAATGCTGATACTAAATTCTCGACTATTATATGGATTAAAGTACGTTCGTGCATGTAGCGTGGGCCACCTGTTAAAGTAGATAAGTTTAGAGTAGATTTGTATTAATGTAAACTTTTTAAATAAGGGGTGAGTGAGAATATTATAAACGTAACATTATTAAACAAATATAATCAGTATGCTCTGAACTGTTAAGCTATCAAGTTAGGTACACGTGTGTCAGTGATATAATAATATGAGTCAACCATAAAATATAGACATATGCTGTCGTAAAATATTTTTAAGATAATTTTATGTAGAACATTTCTGTAATACATTGTATTACATTATTTATTACGATTACGGCTGCACACGTGACGGACATTTTAAAATTGGGTATTTTTTCCCGTTTTCCCAACATTTACCTTCACTGCTCTTCTCCTATATTAGTAATGTGATGAAAAGAATTGGCCCTCTAACCTTCCCAGAAATATGAAGAATAATTTTACCAAGTTTCGTTAAAATCTGTCGAGAAGTTTTTATTTCTATAAGGAACATACAGACATACAGACAGATAGACAGACAAAAATTTTACAGATTGCATTTTAAGCATCAGTAGGCATGGATCAATAATCACCCCCTGATAGTTATTTCGAAAATACAAGTTTTATTTTTTTCAAGTTAGTACAGAATTGACCTCAGGCAGATTTATTATACATAAATATAGAAGATAATTTTATCAAACCGCTTTTGTGTAGAGGGAAAATCATCAAATCTAATCTAAGTGTTGGAGAGCTAAGCTTTGGCACGAATGGCATGAATTTTCATGGAGATGTTATTTGATGATTTTCCCCTTACAAAAAAAAGAACCATTTCGCCGCCAGATTTTGAAATTCCGACGTTGGCGATCACGCATATTTCAATAAAAAATTACATACCTTTTTATTTATGTACCTAAATTTATACCTATGATATTAACTTGTATCTATAATAGGCTTCTCTGTTCTGCAGATTGATAATTAAATCCTTATTCCTGCCCGAGTGTCGTGTCGTATACGGCGGCGGTATGCCCTGCCTGGGCTGAGCACCGCCGTGTCCGCAGGGAAGCGATCGAAGTGAGCGACCTGTCGCGCCCGACCTTAGTCGAGGCCATGGTGCGGAGCGAGAGGAACTGGGACGCCGTCTCCTCCTTCTGTGAAGCAGTTATGCTCGCAAAGAGGGAGGCGGCCCGCGTGAGGGAGCAATCCTCCTCCTCAAGCGCCAGCCGCCGCAACAGGCAACACTACGGACGTCGGGGATCAAGGGACGATCTCCGGCCACCGTAAGCGCGGGTCTGCGGTCGGCGAGTAAGGGTAGCTCACCGCCCGACCAGAACCAGGCCCGAGCGTACGGCGCCGCGTAGCGTTCCACGAGCGACTCAAACAGCCAATAGACAACCACAGACGGGGCCCTATAGGGCTGATGTTCAGCCGGGGTTGCGGGGTAGGCGCAATGAGGCACCGCGACCTCGGGCCAGAGCAGGAGAAGGAACAGGGGGTTTTTTAGTCAGTAAGAGTCTGAAACTCCCTCTATGCGCACTCATTACCTCAAGACTTCTCCCGCCCAGGGCCGGGCGGGAGAAGTCTTGAGGTAATGAGTGCGTTGCCCGTTGGGATTAACCCTGCGGTTACCTCATTCACACAATGCTGTGGATGTTTCACACCGGTTTTCTGTGAGGCCGTGATATCACTCCGGTAGAGCCGGCCTATTCGTGCCGAAGCATGCCTCTACCGCACTCTTCACTTTATCAGTGCGGGGAGTAAGATCCGAAAAGGGGTGTGTGAATACAACATTAGAAAAGATCGAATTTCGACTCCCGGTGGCGAAATGGTGAGGTAGACTTTAACACCCAACCACTGGTCTTGTCCGGGAGAAGGCACGGCTTCTTCTTCTCGGGGCATCTGCTTCGCAAGTCTGTGTCGCAAGGACAGGGAGTCTGACGTTTGGTGCATAACTGCACCTGTTGTAAACAGAATATGGACTGGCTTATGATAATCGCTATAGGTATAGTTCAAAATGATCTCAAGTACGAATAGGGAAAGGGAAAGATTATATTAAACTTTTAATCTCTCACAGCAGGCACACAGATCTTAAGATGCGAGTAGATGTTACCCTTCTTCGGCCCCGGCGTTGTATAATGACATTCAAGAACTGCGGACTTGAGAAAATTTCCGAGGTGGAGCACGGAGAGATCCACACCTCAAATTGTGGGAAAGCCAAGCTTCGCCACGAGTGGGTCGGCTCGACCGGAGTAACACCACGGCCTCACAGAAAACCGGTGTGAAGCAACAAATCCCTTCCCATCCCCTATCCTTTCCTAATCCTTAAATATCCGCAACCTTTATTCCCAAAAGGCCGGCAACGCACTCGTAACTCCTTTGGTGTTGCGGGTCCCAACTATCTATCCATCCCATACAAAAAGACACTGTGCACCTTCAAACTATACTACAAGTCGTAAGCTCGCTAGTAAGAGCCTGACTATCCCGTTAACGTACCCTGGATGACGGGTCTTCATGAGAATTCCCAATTTTGAAGCAAAAATCATAACGCGTTAATTTCTTGCTTTGTTTATTTTTTGGTGATGCTTGACTATTTTTATTTATTTATTTATACACTTTATACAAATACATGTAAAAGTGGACTTAATGCCTTAGGCATTGTCTAACAGTCGACCTTTGGGTGATTGAGAGATGAAAGCGGCATCTTAATCGCCGTGGGTAGCGCATTCCATAGGATAACAGACTGAATAAAGAAAGAAGAGTGAAGAAAGTCAGTGTGATGACATATATATTGAAGATGACGATTATTAGAAGAACGAAGATATTTAGTATGGTTTGCACTTGTGTATTGAAAATAAGTAGATAGATAGCTAGGGGAAAAAGGAGAGGCAAGAAAGGAGTATAGTGGTGAGAGCCCTTTGCTCCCTGCGCTGGCGTATGGGCAACCACTTTAATTGCAGCCGATGTGCTGAAACATGATCATATTTACGCAGGATGAAAACAAATCGAATGCAGTTATTCAGATGATGTCGATCAAACTTATTGAGTAGATCTGCATTCAGGTCGTAATAATAAATCACCATAGTCAATAATCGAGAGATGATCTCCGGCCACCGAACCGGACCGCGGGTCTGCGGTCGGCGAGTAAGGGCAGCTCGCCGCCCGACCAGAACCAGGCCCGAGCGTACGGCGCGTAGCGTTCCGCGCCCGCCTCAAAGAGCCAATAGACCACCACAGACGGGGCCCTATGTTCAGCCGGGGTTGCGGGGTAAGCGCAATGAGGCACCGCGACCTCGGCCCAGAGCAGGAGAAGGAACAGGGGGGTTTTTAGTCAGTAAGAGTCTGACACTCCCTCCCACCCGGCCATGGGCGGGAAAAGTCATTTGGTGATTTTCCCCTCACAAAAAAACCATAGTCAAGAATTGCAAAAAATTAGAGATTGCACAAGGACACCTTTACAAAGGATAGGAGAATATTTTTTTATATTAATATTAATATATTTTGTTGGCGATGCAAAGATTCTAACTAGCGCCTCTAGTGTCAAAATTGTGAAGCTGTTTAAGAACGACCCTGACAGTTTTCCTAACAAATAACGTCAGGGAAAAATAAATAAAAATCTGATCTATCCACATATGAAGAAAATTTATTTGAGTGCTCTTTTCTAATCGTGACATGATGAATCTGGAACAATAACCATAATCTCGTTATCTGACGAGAAACTCGCCTGAGTGTAAACTCAATGAATAACTTATGAAATACATATAAATATAATTGATGTAAAATAAAATAATTAAAACATAATGATATTTTCTTTTTGGAAAAAAGTTTAATGCTTGAAAATGATGAGAACAAACTTCCATTGATGGTGAAATTGGCTTGCCTATTCTTAAAGCAGTCTTCCATTTTTTCTTCATAATTTTGTCTTTTGGGAATAAATGAAACTTATTCCCATAATTCCGAAAGTACTACATTGAGAAACGCAACAATATTTCGTATTTGTTCTTTTATCAGCAACAGGTTTCCGAATATGTATAATCGTGATCCATCTGAGTAACATAATTTCGAAAAATATTCAAACAAAGTATCGTTCTTAGAGAGTTTCTAAATTTCGCCCCTATAGGCATGCGGACAATCTTTGCATCGCCAATAGGTGGATCGTACGATCGTATGATCTTGTATTGCTAAAAGACTTGGTTTTAATAGTTCCTCCAATTGCGTTTTTTAATCTGTTCACTATTAAATTCGATTCGTTCTCTTTTGGCTTAAAGGACTCGTATCCAGGCCATAAACTCCAAAAAAAAAAAAAAAAAAAGATTCGTTCTCTTCTTTCACTCAGCAAAGAATCTCATTCATCACTATCTGTCACACAATACGTGCTGTCAACTTAGCGGGAATTGAAACATTGAACAGGCTTTTCCAAAAAATATAATTATAATCGATGAAAGATTAATTCCATTTAAATCAATCTTCAGTACATAAAATGTTTGAGTGGGCTTATAGTGGCGCAAACAAAGCTGTTCCTAGAAATGTGGGACCCGAATGTGCTTATTATTTATCCACTAAACGGCAAATAATAGAAACAATAGTCGTGGTTTCAATTTGTGTATATATTGCAGTAAGTGCGCTACTATTATTATTTTATATTAGTATTTAGTATATACGAAAAAATATGTTTTTATATGTAATTATGCAAAACAGTTCTACCATTGTGTTCTTTTTTCTATTATAATTTAATTAGTACTTAGTGTAGACAACAATTACTTACAAAGTAATAAATGAAAATGAAAAAAAATATTTTTGATCTATATAATTGTTACAGATTAAAACCTATCCAAAATTAACTATACCTCAAGATACAAATTATATAAAAAGTGATAGAGGTGGTAAAAGATTATTGGTAATACTTCTGGCTCTGTTATGGGGTATGGAAATTGGTTTTAAATTTGCCTCTCGCACAGTTATATATTTGTTGAATCCTTGTCATGTTACAACATTGATACAAGTAAGTGTTTCTAATTTATCATAACAATGCTAACAAAATCTAGGATATTGCTTTGTATCCCCTTTTGGTAATCTAATTAGCAATATTAGATACTTCTTTAAGAGTTTATTTGTGTAGCTTGTTACCACTTACAATTATTTAAAAAATTCATATCATTATTAGCTACTACTGCTAACATGTCTATACTTACTCAACTAAGATCTTTTTTTATTGCATGATCTTTTATATTCCATCTCAGTAAGCAACTTTTTCTAATCACATCATAATATAATATATTATAATAATATATATTAAGTAACACTTCTGTTGAGAATTTTGGAATAAAATAACTGCCCGGACTTGACTGGTTGGTTGTAGGATGTTGTTATCTTTAAGTTACCTATGTGATTTTTAAATTTGTTATACATTTCCTTCCCCTTTTTAGATATATTTATTGGCTGCACCACCAAGTAAAACAGTGACAGCTTTGTTTCGCATCCATTTAAATTTATTAAATGGACCCCTATTGGCATTTCTATTTCCTGAAACTGCTTCAAGGAAGGTGAGTATTCTATAAATTTTTTTTCACCTTGTCCACTTTCATTTTAACCTTTGTGTTCTGATTTGTAGATTTTTGCTGAAGCGGCTCTATACTGGATCCAACATGGAATGATGTTTGTCATACCATATTATCTACTGAGGATTGGTGGTGGGTTTAGTGAATTTCAAATCTATATTTAAAATTATATTACATAAAATAATCAACACATCTCTTTTCTAGGCCCCTACAACATAGAACCCTTTTGGGATTTTAATTGGTCAATATTTAGCTATTGCCTAAACATGATATACCACTTCATCATTTTACAACTTATTGCAATTGTAAGTAAATGTTTCAATCTATATAATTTTTACCTAACTTCTCTTTCTTGATGTGATGATTATGACAAGAGATATAGATGTTGCAACCAGTTTCTAAAAGGCTGACTTAATCCGAGGCTTGTTTATTCACTTGGGCTGCTTATGCAGCTTTGTATGTCTCTACATTAAAAAAAAAATTAAATTTTACAACCACTTAGTACTGACTATATAAAAATATACATGATATTACCTAATTGATAATAATTTGTTTTCAGCCTGCTCAAGTAAACTTGAACCACATGCTCTGCCCAGCTATTTTAGATCCATTTGATGGGCCTTGGTACAGAGTTGCAGCAGTTACCCACCAAGCACTACTGTGCCCATTACTTTGTAAAATGTTTTGTCTAATTTCCGATTTCTGCCTAACTAAATTTCCGCCTACCAAAGTCAAGCCACATATGAAGGATTCTCTTATGGATAGCCATGCTGTTGCTGTGACAAACCCAGTGGAGCACCATAAGGACTAGTAGCAGTTGCATTTGGAACAAAATATGGCTGTAATTCCTCTCAGGGTAGGTAAGACACTAATAATAAAAATTGCCTTTTGAGTTGGAGAACAATATTTCATCGCGTCCATTTGGTTTTGGTGGTTAATATATTATTAGTAAGGTAAGGTTTATTAAATAGATGTACGAAATTTTGCATGAAATTTGTTGGTAAAAGGTATACTAAACAATTGTTAGCAAATTTGAATATCTAATATGTAAACAACCTTATGTTTATTACATGTGTACAAGCATTGGATTTTGGGTCAATTCACAATTAAAACTTGTAATTATAATTACTATTGATACTTTATTAGGTACTAGTTATAATTGCTTTGCGACAATGCATTTAGATATATGCAGACTGTAGGAATGAAATAGCTCACTGTGCAAACACATTTGTAGTGGTCACTTTGGATTATTGTTAACTAAAGTAAAGTACTTCGTAGTAACAAAAATAAATAAATTAGGTTGCTGCAAGGTACCTTCTATAATAAAATACGGATATACAGCTGCTCACCATACAAGTATGGGTTGAAGTAGTTGTAACGCCATCATAGTAACTGTAGTGTTAGCAAGTGTGTCGCCTAATTCGTCTACGACGCTAGATAATACAAAATATTATTTAAGAGATGCGACTTTCGCTTGGTGGTTACGACTGTGATTTACAAGTGCTGCAATAAAACAACAACACACTTTTATTGTTATTGTAACATAGTTAGTAAATATGTGGTAGAATTCTATTGTGATCGGAAATTTATGGATTGGGAAAAACATTTTATGTCTGGACATGTGTCAACTTTGCCACAAAGAAACAACGCGACGTTTTAACGACTTAGTTGTGATATGAAAAAAACATGTTTATTTACAATAAATATGTAATACCGAAATTCATATTATTAATATTAATAATTATTAATTATAACCACATCTAAGACACATACGTAAGCTGGTATAGTATCTAAGTAGGTACGTGTTACGCGAAGAAGTATGTAGGTAGGTACCCTACAGAAAGAACTAAAGTTGTAAACGCAAATTTTAGGCCTACCTTGTAACTTCAAATTTCAGGACCCCATTTGTAGGACCTACAATTAGGTTATTATTAAGATTTGAAGAAGTCATTGCAATGATGTATTTTCTGTAAGTACATGTTTAAATGTGATAATATTCCCAAATATTAAACCTAGGTACTTTATTTTTTTCGCAGACACTTATTAAGTAAATACGTAGGTATCTAACCCAAAACAAAATAGATATAAATATCTATTTATTTATAGCTATTTATTTATATCATGATCAAGTTTATATAAAAACAGAATTGATCTAGGTACATATATAACATACATACCTAAGCTTTTGGAATAAGCTATGGCGCTACTAAATGTCGTTTGGCCGCCAATATAAATAAATAAGTAAATATGTTCAGTTTAAATAACATCCAGAAACTATGGAATTCTCATTTACATTTTTCTTAGTATTGCAGCTGAAAGTAACTTTTAATAAGTACTTAAGTTTAGGCATAGCGTTTGACTCTTTTTGACTACCCACATAATTATTATAATTAAATACCTACCTACTATTGAACATGGAATAACGTGATTTCAAAATCAACGGGTCAAACCTAGTCCTACTTATGTAGTAACTTTCGGGGTCGTGTAGGGATTTACTAAAGCCATATTTTACTTAAGTAAATAAATATTACAACGCTCTTTGTCACACGATGTCTCTTTCCGTTGTCTATCTGTTGCCGGTTAAATCCTGTTTGAGGACATCCACCTAGGGTAAACTAGTCCAAAAAGCATAACAAAGGCGTAACTGACATAGACGCGGGTCGGACGGACAGAGGGTTAGGTCACTTCAAACCCTGTGTGCAGAAATATGAGCCCCGCATAGCGGAGCTCTGTCACCTTTTATTAGTTTAACCTAGGCAAAACTAGTTTCTGCCTAAGTCTGGTTTGGCTGGCTGGTACTGATTGAGAAGATATTTGTTAGTAGATAATGCACGTTTCAATTTTGATTGTTAATTTTATGATGAAAATAGATATTATATTGTATGTAGGTAGGTATATGCCATTCGTAGGAGTAACTGGCACAGCAAAAGGATCATAGCTTGATCGGTACCTACAGTTTTAAATAACAAAATTCAAAAGCTAAAGGAAAATTTATAAATCAATCAGTAATCTCGGTAGTTTGTTGATCGTGGTTTTCTTATAATCACATACAAAATAAACTCCTAATAGGTACCTACCTATTAAGGCTGATTACCGGACTCAAGTATTTATATTCAGTTCAACGATACCCTTTTGTTTGAATAACACGGTTAATTTAGTTTAAGTTTAGGATCATTCGTTGTAACACTAATTTTCTATATTGGTAACGTATAATGTCTTGCTTACCTATATTTTAAACTGTAGAGTCGTTTAGGTATCTGTATGTACTTAGCATTGATTTTATAAATAATTCAGATTAATGCCTACGTGAATGAGTATGAGTGAAGACTGTTAACGCAAGTTAAAGTCGGAAGCGGTATAAGTTCCACACACAGCAACAACGAATATAACGTGTCTCTGTGGTACGATAACGATACCTAATAAATGATACACCTAGTCATTAATTTATTATATTTAACTATTATTTGAGAGTTTCCCTTTTAGTGGGGGAGATCACCTGGGTGGGGCGAGTGTCAGACTTTAACAGACCCCTCCGTCTCCTGCTTCAGGCCGAGTCCACGTTCCATTATTGCGCTTAGCTCCCGTATTTCGGTTGCAATCATTTGGTTCCCCGAATTTACCAAGTGTAGTATAGTGCCATGGCAAGATTTTGTCGTGGTGAGGGTCAGTTTCAGTTGACACATTGTGAATTTTTTTATTATTTAATGTCTTCATAGAAGAAAGTTAACGTAACAATAACAAAGTCATTTGTGTTGAGAGTTAAATGATTAATAATTAAAAAAACACATTGCGCAAATCCTGTCACAGCAAAATCTTATCATTATTCATAGGGGGTAGGTATTATATTTCATGAATACTTCAGTAGGTATTTAACCATGTATATTTGTATAAAAGCATAATATATCTCGACTTTTTAATGTAGACAAATATGTAGTTGATGCATGCATAAGACATAAAACTTTAATAGGGCTACGCTCTGTACGTAATAATACGTGTAATGAGTAATATTTGTAATATAATTAGTCCTTTTAGTGTCATAATACTAAATGATGAAAAATGTTGCTTGATCTAAGTACCGCAATTTATTTAGGGCTATATTCACAATGTCTAATTAACGCCGCGCAACGTTTCATACGTTGTCGTCGACCAAAGCAGCAGAACGCAGCATCGCATGCGCAAACACAAAAATATTAACTTTTTGAGTAATTGATTACGAACCCAACTACGGCCGCGTGTATGTAAACGAATCCTTAGAGTCAGAGCTAAATGTATGAGTTCACAACACTACCACATCTCATTACCGACCCAACAAATCGATATAACCGTAAAGGTTGTGAGTAGATAAGTGGCGAGGAGCTAATATAACAAATACATAGATGAAAAGGGTAGATATAAAAAAGTTAGACGTGAAACAAAGTATGATACGCAAATTAATGATAATTTTGAATCAGATTAGGCACTGAAGTTAGAAAAATAGTTACTCTCGTTACTTAGAGATAAATATAAACTATTGCACTTAAAGTGAAATAAAAACTTGAAATATATGTATAAAATTTACTATTCCGTTATATAAAATTAGAGCAGTACCTATCCAGTAACAAGCAGTATTGTGATTTGCTAAGACACCTCAATTTAAGATCTAGTAGGAATACTACTTGTGAAATAGCGATCGATGCAGTAATAATTTTGTTTGAAGGAAAACAACAATGATAGACCTTGACGGTACCATAACTCAATGGAGGCATATACGTACATAAAAATGTGAATTAGCTGTTTATTTACTTCATCATAACCTGTTTATGAGTTTAGCGGTGTAAAAAAACTATAAATCTGATATTGTGAAAAAGTATATTATTGCTTACATTTAATTGGGTAGTTTCCTAGGTCAAAAATAAATTAATTCGACGTTTTAATACGATGAAATATTGAAAAATAACTATACTTTTATTCATCGATCGATCGATACACTAAGTTTTAGATATTTTTTAGCAATTTTTTTAAAAATAAGTAAGTTATTTGACGCAAAAATGCTATGACGTCATAATTCAATGTTTCATACAATTTTCATAGAAAAGTATCGTTTTTGACATTTGGATAAAAGTATTGAATTTGACTAGTTGGAAACAACCGTATTGCATTAAATCAATGAAATGGAACCATGCATTATATTGCAATACTTAACTTTTTTTTATCATTGTAATTGCATAACATTTTCTATAGTTAAAAATTAAAAATAATCATTACTTATCTAAATTTTAAAAGAAGAATAGTACATATTCCATTTTTTATGAGAAAACAATGCAAAGTAGGCTCTAATAAATACAATTATGCATGTTATTATAATACAACAGATACGGTAGGTACAGATCAAGTACCTACGTTACCATAAAAATAGGCACCTTTTTGTGTTTGGATTGTAAGGAAATAAAATTAAGTTGATGGTGCATCATTTGTCCATTATAATCTTGTAAATCTCAATGACTAGTCACAAACTAGTGTATGAATTCAATGTATCAATAATATTAACCGTATCCGTAGATATATTTCAATGCCATTAACCCTACCTGCTTTCTTCAGCTTGGGCGATGACCAAATGACATCTATGTAATAACGATAGGGTAAGGTATTAATATTACCTATTCCAATCACGTTAGATATTATTTATTCTGAACTTGGCTGGGGGCACTGCTGTGCCCTTACATTTACTAAGTAGGTACCTACTGGTTGGGTTAATTAACAAGCGCCCGTAAGTACAATGACCTGTTTTACTTAGCAATAAATGTATTCAAATTATTTTGTTTAAAAAATAAATAGGTACTTCGACATTACAAAGAATAGTACCTAACGTCAGATTGATGTGAAGTTTGAATGGATTACCTCTATTAATCACTATTAATTGCTTCTATGGTTGCTTTATTTGACCAGACACCAATCCTAAAGTTGTTATTAAAAAGAGTTGGCAAAAGCTTCAAGAGTCCTCTCTAACGTTCCTAACGTTAGGTATTATTAATAAGAAAATCGTGTGTTGATACATTTATCGATTTTTTAACGTACCTACCTACTTTCACATCGATTGATACCAATTCGTCCTTCAATGGAGACCTACTCGGTTCTAATGAAGTTACCTCTGTCATGTGTAACACCATTCACCGCACATTTTTTGTCGGATTCAAAAAATGGACATCCATGTAGAAAAAATGTGATAGATTTTTTAAGTTAATGATTAGTACAATCAGTGCCTTATACGTTCGAGGTACTCAGTAACAAAGAAGCAACCAAGCCAAAATATCGTTTACAACTAAGTTAAAGAACCATATAGATATAGGATCACTCATTCCGCTATAAATAACGGTACAGTTCAACTATCAATAAAGAGGTAACGAAGCATTGCAAGTGACTAAAAATACGGAGCACATTAGAAACATTAACTTTAGTACCTACCTAAGTATCTACTCTATAGATATTTAAGTATTACATCCCAAGTTTACACATAATTGCATTAGAAAAATTTATGCCGTCCTTTTCATTTTGAACGTAACATTATAGACTTCTTTTGTTTTATAAAGTATTTCGTGTGTATCCTTTTATAAAATTCTTACGTTGGTACCTAACTATATTGTAATCAATGAGCAGTGAACTAAATGCGTAAACCTTAATCATTATATGTGTGCCAGTTAAAATAAAATAAAGTAAGATTCATGTCCCAAATTTGGACAATAATATAATACGATTCCCTAATATTATTTTATCTGTTATTGTATTTAAAAAAGCCTGCCGCGGCTTCGCATTAGTAATTAAAAATAGTAAACTAAACGTAAAACAGTAAAAAATATTTTTATTATAACTTTCGTGAGACATTCTAAATTATTTATTATGTTTTCGGCTTACTCACGTAATAATTTGACGAGATACTCGACTAGTTTCAAGCCATGCTAGAGGCCCATATTCATGAGCAGCATTCCGCGACACGCGACTCTGACTACGGTCGCCGAGTCGCGTGTCTCGCCGGGCCTCTAGCATGGCTTGAAACTAGTCGAGTATCTCGTCAAATTATTACGTGAGTAAGCCGAAAACATAATAAATAACAGTAAAAAATAGAGTTGACATTGCAAATTTTCTTATTTCAATGAATTTCCACATTAATACTAAATTACCTAAAAAAGGTTTCATCTTTAATTATACATAAGTATTATAACATGATAGTATTATATCACTGATGCATGTGTTTCGATTTTTTTTTAATTTTGAATACTGTGAGATATTTTACACTGAGTGTCCGTGACTATACCTATGATAACTTTATTGCACCGATATTTTTTTGGTTCTATGATGGCTTCTTCAATTTTGACCTATCTACCCTGAATGACCTGTATAATAGGTATATAAATATTTCACGCTGACTGTACAGACC